CAATTAAACATTCTTCAGCTGATAAAGCTCTCTCGCCTCTACTAACCTTTTGTCTCGAATGAGCCCGTTTGCACTGGACGGCCCAGCGACGAGCTGGATCCACGGTGCTGGCACCATGGCCGACACCAAGACCGATAGGACCGACAAACCGACAAAACCGACAAGCCCGACAAGACCGAAACCAGACCCCAGCAGCCAACGGCTCCAGAGGCGACCAGTCAATCTCCAGTGACTTCACTAGCACCAATAACGAGAGAAAGCCTCCCTAACCCACAAATATGAAGTATTCGGTATCCAGCCCTATACCTACTACAGAGCACTTCCCACACCCTCTTTGTACTCTCCGCCCCCACCCACACCAACACATACCTTCCACCCAAATCAGCTTATTGCCCAGTGATCGACAAACAATATACCCTGTACAGATAGATAGTAACTTAGTCTCATTGCACAAGGCCAACCAATCTCACTCTATGAAGAAAGGTGGAAAGACAATCACCCCCTAACTAATCATCGGATCCGATCCTCCCCTCCGAGCGCGAGACCGATAAAGCCCGCGGAGACGGTCGTTCGTGAACGTCCGAGCCGCGCGGAGCGTCAGTCAGCTCGGCTCAGCTTAGCCCTATTTATTATGTATTTTACTTAAAGATAGGATTATTTCTTACTTGGGGGATGTTTAATAAAGAACGAGTTGCGTCTAATTTTTCCGCTCATTTTCATCTATATTTTCTATTTCTTCAGCGCCGAAAACGCACGAGCGGAAGGACAGCGGGATATAATGGCTCCTTCTCCTGAAGCTGCTATAAACGCTCATCTTGGTGATGAATACGAGAAAGATGATCGGAATTCTCAAAATACCCTACAGGAATCAGACCTAGCACCCGACACAGAAAAGCAAGCGCCAACACAACCTCCGACGCAATCGCCGTGGGGAACGGCTGATACCCCGCCTGATGGGGGGTTTGCGGCGTGGTCGGTGGTGTTGGGGGCGTGGTGTGCGTATTTTTGTACTTTTGGGTGGATTAATAGTATGTTCACTTTTATTTCTTCCCCCTCTGTAATCCAAACGGAGAGGGGAAAGTCTGGCTTGTTGCTACATGCATGCTAATGAGTACAGGTATTGGAACGTTCCAGACTTATTATGAGACAACGCTGCTCAACGGGTACTCGACGAGTACGATCGCGTGGATTCCTTCGTTGGAGGTGTTTTTCATGTTTTTCATGGTTCGTTCTTCTCTCTTCCTCCTATCACGCGCAAAAAAAGTTTGGGGCTAATCATACTAGGGCCCTATCGTCGGCACGCTGAGCGATAGACTCGGCGCTCGCGTGGTCATCATCGCAGGCTCCTTCCTCCATGTTTTTGGCCTCATGATGACATCCATCTCTACGGAATATTACCAGGTGTTGCTTTCGCAGGGTGTCTGTAGTGCTATGGGGCTGTGTGCTATTTTCCAGCCATCCATGAGCTCCATTCCCAGCTGGTTTAACAAGAAACGCGGCGCGGCGTATGGAATCATCGCTTCCGGGTCAAGTGCCGGAGGTGTGATATTCCCCATCATGGTTGATCGGCTCATCACTCGTGTCGGCTTCGGGTGGGCGATGCGCATCGCTGCTTTTCTGATTCTGGGGTTGCTTGTCGTTACTTGCCTTACTGTGAGGTCGAGGATCCCGCCAATGAAGCAGCAGATGGATAAGGAGGCCTTTATGCGGCCGTATAAGGAGGTGAAGATGTTGTTTCTTGTTTCCGGATTTGTCCTGTTGACTTTCGGCGTGTTCATTCCTATCAATTACATGGAGACATCGGCTATTGCGGATGGGATGAGTACGAATTTGGCGCAGTATCTGGTTCCGATATTGAATGCTGGAAGGTGAGTGGTCCGACTACGCTCGGATAAGATGATAAAGTTGCTAATGGGTTGTAGTCTCTTCGGTCGAATGGGAGCAGGCGCGTTCTCCGATAAAGTTGGGCCATACAACATCTTTGTCGTGGTCTGTTCACTGACGGGTATCCTGGTCCTCGCGCTCTGGATCCCTGCGACTAATAATCCCGGAAATATCGTCTTCGCGGTCCTCTTTGGTGTCACTTCTGGCGCGTATTTCTCTTTGTCCGCTGCCCTGGTGGCAAAGATTGCTCCGCTCCGGGAGATGGGTTACTGGACTGGCGTGCTCTTCCTGTTCGCGTCGATTGGCGCCTTGACGACCAACCCTATCGCAGGCGCGATTCTGCAGCGCGATGATGGGTCGTACACAGGCATGAAAATCTATTCGGGCATCTTTTTGTTGGCAGGGACTGTGTGTGTCTTGATGACCCGTATTCGTCAAACAGGCTTGGTGCTCAAGGCGAAGTTCTGAGTGTTTCACTCTTGGCAATGTTCTGAAATTCTCTGCTCATGTGTTTGTATTCTTCTGTAATATAATTAATGTGTAGATTCTCTTGGCTGGTTCGGCCTTGCCAGGCACGAAGTCAAATCTGAGTATCCATCGAATGCTCGAAGCCCGTTATGTCGACACTCTGCATTAAGCCAGTCCAGTCCGGGAAACCAAGGACGCCAATATCCCAATTAACAAAGTCGAAGAACGACTCTACCATTGGCGCATCCGCTTGGCTGGTACCTGTCGGTTGGGTCTCATCGACCGAGCCTGCGGCCTGCTCCACGGCAACCTGCATCTGTCGAATATACAACGCCTTGTCACGCAAGCGAGTAATTATTGCCCACTTTGGCCCCGGATTGGGCCACAACGGGTCCTTCTCGGTGAGGTCAAAGACCAAGTTCACTGCTCGCCATGCGCGTTCGACGTGCACCCCCAGTGGATACACACAAAGGTGCCACAATATGTACGTGAGGAGAAAGTAAGGCATGAATGTCGAAGAGAGCCAGCGATATCCGCGGAGAAGCGCGTCGGTAGACATTTCATTGGTGCGTTCGAGGGCTTGGCAGGAGATGTCCAGGGTTTTGGTCTGCAATTCACGGCGCTCGGCGACCGGTATCGAGGTGCTATTTGTCTGGAGAGCTTTCTGGTTCAGGTACATTTCCATTTTTAGCACTAGAACCTCCCCTAGCAGCATACCGTGTCGCTGGATCGGAATATTTGGGTCGCCATGTTTTGTATAGGTATTGTATACGTGCTCTTTTGCTTCCCGTACTATCTCAGCGGGATCCTTTCCAGTGACTTTCGTTGTCAGTGTGCGATGCAATTCCAGGCGCTTTTCGTTCACTATTGTCGTGATCAGGGATGCTGTCATCTCCGTCCAGCAGTCCTTGGAATCTGGCGGCACCGTTGCCGTAGCAGAAAGGTCCTGGTCATCGATATTTGCTGGAAATGCGGTGTCGTAAACCTCCTCGCCGCTATTGACACCAACCCCATGATCCTCGACCGCGCGACTGTCAGCTGTACAAATGTGCCACCAGAGTCGGCGGCGCAGCTCACATTCCAGCGGAGTCAGCTTAAAGTGTCTTCCGTCACGGTGAAGGCCAATGGATTGTGCTGCCCGGATGACCAACCCTCGCATTGTCCATCCAGATCGTCCGCTATTATAATAGCGCAGGCACATCTAAATATACAGTTTCATGAGCCACATTCTAGATAGCAATACTAGCCAGCCGATACTTACCTGGTATATACTCATCGCCTGCAGCGATGTTAGGGTGGGAGCATCCAGAAAGTTCGACTGATAGAGAGCAAGTTCCAGCCCTTGTTGGTATCGCTTGACTTCTGATTGCCTCTGTTCATGTGCTGGGTCCTCGGCAAGCACACTTGTTGTGGCCGCAAAGAAGATGGCAAAAAGCAAAGCATGGAGATCAGCAGGCGCGGCCGCCGGCTGATTAATCGCTGCGAATACCCGTGGCTGAGTCGACGGAACGTGAAGTATCTTGATTATCGGGTCGATGCGATTCAAAAAGGTTTGCCAGAGCTGTGTTGATTGCCACTGACACGGATGCAGTGCATAGAGATGTCCGTCCTCCACAGAGCGACTGACAAGGAGACCTTCCGCTCTAAGCGTGAGTGGTCGTCTGGAGCTGCTAGTGTCGCTCTTCGGTGTCCCAATGGCAGACTGGAGCTCTTTTTCATCTTCTAAGACTCGGGACAAGAGTTGTTCATTGATATACCGGCCGTCCTCAACTAGAAGGCCGTCGTGCGATAGCTCCGCTGCCGCAGCTGTGCCCGTCGGCGACGGTTCATTGCTAGAGGGGGACCCCGCACCTGGTGCAGAAACGGTCCGTCCGTCTGTCACTTCGTGCTGAAGATGAGACAGCGATCGGTTTCCAGCTAGAGCCGCGATGGAGCGCTCAAGTGATTCCAATCGGGCGATGACATCAGAATTGTGTACTTTGGGGGGCCGACGCTTGACGCGATTGGGGCCGGGGTATTGACAGAGCACATTTGCTCGTATACAAGCCCCACATGGAGAGCTCTTATCGCAGCGGACCTTGCGTTGGTGGCAGCGCAGACAGGACCGTTCGACGTTGTAGCGGCGTGCGGATTCCATAGCTACGCTTGTCTTCTGCGCGCTGCAAGGGGGTCAGAGTTTAGTCGGTTATTCCCCGACTGTATTCCAGAGATAAAGTATGGCAGATTAAAGCCTAGGGAGCGACTCGACAATCAGCCTATGGGTTGGAGAGTTGATGCGACGCCAAAGTAACCTCGGGGAGGCGGCTGTTCGCGAACGTCCGAAGATCCGACACCTGACATCGCTGAGTCAGCTTGTGAGTCTTCCACCAACAGCTTCGAGCAAGATCATTACTTGATTTAGAGGCATGGGTATCTTCGTGAAAAGAAATAATATACGTCAAAAACAATATTTTGCGGCTCCGGACTTGTGTTCACATCTACAGGAGCGCACATTGTGCGTGAAAGAAGCCCTATTCTGGTATTGACATGGCAACATCACCGTTGTTGAAACTCGCAAACCGCATACACAAGCCGGGGCATAGTATAGGTTTCCACAGACGAATTCGCAGATATGTAAGCTATTGTTTGCCCTGCAAAATGTAAAAGGCTCACAGGAAGCGACCCCGCTCGGAAAGCCAACCCGCAACATAGTTGAAGCATGTTTTGACGGTGTCTCCAAATTCTCCAGGGTACGACTCACACTCGGTGCAGGGGTAAATGCCATGCTGAGCGCCTTGAACAAACGCGATCGAGGTATCGTTGCTCTTGACGGCATTAAGGTGGATCTTTTCAGCGTTCAAGTACTCGTAGTGTCCAGTCATTCCCACGGTCAAGAGCGGGACGCTGACGCCTTTGATCGATGCTGCAGGTGCCATCTGGGTAGAATCGTACTCTATGCCTTCGAAGTTATCTGCCAGAATGTTGAAGTTCTCGTTGGCTCGAATGGCCAGGGTGGAGAGGTACCGCCGGACGGTAGTCTTGAGAGCAGCTTGTTCCCAGGAGTTGGAGACATCGACCCAGCCGGAGGGGACACGCACCGATTGAATAATCTGCTCGGTCGTACCGTTCTTTTCAAGCAAAACCCAAGGATAGGTAGTGTGATGCAAAGTTCGAACATCTTGAGAAATGAAGAGGTTGTTGGTAGCAAGGTAAAGAGCCGCAGGGATGGTGAGGGGCTCGTCATCACCGAACATCCCATTGCCTTTCTCGATTTCCTTGAGACGGTGCTGGGCATGTTCCAGGACACGGTTGTTGCGAGCCACAATCCCCTTCGTAAACCTCTTTTTGAACTCTGAAGTGAAGTTTGATTGAGTGCCATTGCTGAACCCTTTATCAGGGTTATAAATGTTGAGGGACTGGTTGAGTTTTGAGGCCTTCGTTTCATCTTCGATAGCCGGGTTCAGACTTAGCAGGCCCATGGTGGAGATGCCGTAGTTAGCATCCAGCAGCATTAGGCCGTCAGCAGGCTCAAGGCCAGCCAGAGCATTGGAACAAGGATAGATTTTCTCTGGGCCATTGCACGCGGACACTCCATTCTCTGCGACGTTCTGGTAATGGGCCGTCATCGCACCGTCACCGCTGTGGCCGAGAATAACCACCTTGTCGATATCGGTCTGGTTGCGCAACCAGGCCAAGCCCGTGTTGGCCTGGAGCATCATATCCTCAAAGTTTATGTCTGACATATAGCCGGATTTGCTGGCTTCGTTGTTGGCGAAAAACACTGTAAACCCACGCTCCTGAAGCTCTGTACAGCCAACAAAGGAGGTGTAGTCCTGCTCCGTATGCATGATATAGATGCCGATGCGCGAGCGTGGGCTCGTGGTGTTGGGTCGGTAGAGCCCACCAAGAACGCCAGTATCATCGAAGTCTTTCAAAATGGGGAGAGGTATTTGAGAGGCAGAAGCAAGTTGAGCAAGCAATGCCAACCCAGCAAGGGTAGTAACGGCGGAGGGATAGGACAGAATCATATTGGACGTATATGCAAAAGCGACCACAATCAATTCGGTGAGGAGTCAACCAAGATTACACCTACTCTCTCCTCACAGGATGGGCAATTGGCTTTATACTTATTGACTAAGTATTTCGAAGTGGCCCCACCTCGCAGCTACCAACGGTCTTCATAGCCGTACCAGAGCGCGTATTGCGATGGCTGACGACGCTCGGTTATAGACTAGCTAGCTCGTGATGAATGGTAGGATAGTTCAGGCTATCAGCATTTATGGGCCCCTCCACGCCCAGGCGTCATGCAGAGAAACCATCTTCTATGCACTTCTTGCGGTATCTCCGAGGTGTCGATCAATATGATCACCAGCGTACCGATGAAAAGCCCAAGCGAGCCGTCTTTAGCGTGATAAGTGTGCGCAGCAGGTCTGTTGTTCTTGTTTCGCGACCACCTACTCACAACCGGGTTGCTCTACCACTCTGCGAGGGTACATCAGCGCGAGTACATCATCCCTCAGAGTGATATCGAATGATTCAATCCCGAGAAGGCATACTGCAAGAGACATAACAAGTGGTGCGGGGAGTATCGACCCCCCAATAAAAGTCCCTGGAGGTAGCTGAAGAAGTGCATGATAGTGCGGAGATGCGGGGGTGAGGTGGACAATCCCTTCTCAGCACATCCACTTCCTCCCCAACACTGCAAGCAGGATACTTCATCTTTCCAATGAACAGCGAGCCATGTTGGTGCTCGCTTGGCTGGACAAACTCTCTATAGTACTACCGCCTGCTGTAAAAGGCATCCTGCTCCGAAGATGCAGGCCACGATGATGGTGCCACATTCAAACATGCACTGTCCGTAATGGCCAACTTCCCTTGTTGGTAGTGGGAATTTGGGAGGTATTTTGCGAACAGCAGGCTTTGCCATATTAGCTGGACTGACAGCTCGGTAATTGTGCCAACGAGAGAGCTTCATTTGGCTCCATAGGCATCTGTGATCATTTCCATCTTGCTGCTCGCTGATAGTACTTAGCAATGGCAGCATAAAGCACTCCCAGGTAGTAGTGAGGAAATAGCAAGGGGAAAGTAAGGGAAAGAACAGACAGTATCCCCCCAGGTCAGGTGACATCTATCTCTCAGGGCCACTACTAAAAGACGACTTCACTCCGGCTTCTACAACCCTGTGAAGACGTCTCCCTCATCAGCGAGTAGGTAAATGACTACTACCATGACAAGCTCATGCCAGTACCTCACCCTAACTTCTTCCAGTTATCCCAAACATTAATGACTGAGTCCCTCTCTACCCTACCGGATAAACAATTTACCCTAATTCTTGACCATCCGTTTACAAGCCCCCACAGCTTATTTCTTAGCAAACATACTGTCTCTAAGCTGCGTATCTCTCTCTGCTCCCCGTTAAATCCGAAAACATTCTTGAAACGTACTCCTACTTCATACGTATCACAACTATCCTCTCCTGTCGTAATCCTGTCGTGAACGAACGATGGGCCACACAATGTGCCGTAATTGCCGCCGTTGAGGGTGTGGGCTGGCGGTGGATCTTGTGTTTCAGCTTCGGTCGGTGTTTCAACGGCCCCCGCTCTCTCTCTCGCCCTCTCCCTTCTCTATCTCTTCCGCCCGGGCAGGACGGGTGATCTGTAACAAGTTACTACTCCCTAGATAATATTGCTTACGCAGTCATGCTATAATACCCAATTTTATATGGGGTGCTGCGATGGAGGTGAAACTGACACTGCAGAAGTTACTATATGTGCACAACTACAGAGGACCGAGAGAGATAGATTGTGAAAGTAGACGGGACCTCGGGTCGCTTTTGATTTATAGTGTTTACAAAGTTATATACAAGAACGTGAACAACTTCATCCTGGACCCTCTATATCACCTCTCTGTCTCTCTATCCTCTTCCCATTCTCCCTTCCAGATAGATATCCGTCCGGACTGAGTGCATTTACTCAGCAACGCACTGGTAGTAGTAGTCGTTCTGGACCTTGCAGGTGTAGGGGCTGGCACAGACGGTAGGACCGGTCCAGTTGATACCACCGCACTGGTAGTACTGGTTCACCTCACCAGCAGAGTTGGTGGCCGAGGGACCCTGGGGGTCGCTGACACCGACGACACCGCTGCTGCTAGCAGCAGCGCTGGAGCTAACCTGGCTGGGGGCAGCGGCAGTGGTGGTGGGAACGTAAACGGAAGTGGTGGCGAAAGCGACGCTGGAAGAAGTAGGAGCGGCGGCAGGGGTGGTGGCAACGACAACAGGGGTGGTAGCAACGGCAGCAGGAGTGGTAGCAGCGGCGGCAGGAGTGGTGGCAGCGGCAGCGCTAGAGACGGCGCTGGAGGTGGCGCTGGACAGCTTGCAAGGGGACTTGGACTTGGACTTGACCTTGCTGAGGGTAGTCTGGCTGGCGGCGACGGCCGAAGAGGAAGAAGAGGAAGAGGCAATCTCAACCTGGGTGGCGGGGGTGGTGGTCTGCTCAAAAGCGGCAGTGGTGGTGGAAACAGCGGAGGTAGCAGCGGCAACGGAGGCAGAGGCAGAGCTGGAGGAGGAAGCATCACCGCTGGGGAAGTACTTCTCGAGGATGGGCAGGTAGGTGGAGTAGGCGGTGCCATCGGTGGGCTCCAGAGAGTACATGTAGGTTCCCCACCAGGGACCGGCAGACCACCAGGAAGCACCAACCCAGACGTCGGAGTTCTCGGACATGTACGCGAGCATGCCCTCGACAGCCTCTTCACACACGGAGTTGACACCACCAGCGAACTCACCGATGATACCCTGCTTGTTGTTGGTCTTCAGCCACTCGGTAGCCTTCTCAATGCGCTCCTTGCCGATCGTGGAGCTGACACAGGTCTCCGAAGTACCGGAGCTGTCGGAGTCAAGGTACTGGTGCATCTCGTAGATGATCTTGTCCTCACTGTCGGTCAGGCCAGACAGGTCATCGTTGTAGGTAGTCCAGTCCCAGGCACCAGTGTAGGCGTTACCCTCGACGAAGATGTACTGAGTGGTGGCACCAGCGGCACGGATACCGTTGATAGCAGCCTGGTTGAGGTTCAGAACCAGGGACTGCTCCATGTCATGGTACTCGTTGTCTATTTCTGTTAGATATTTCCTTGTATAACCGGTATAGAAGGTCTACTCACTGGTATCGAAGATGACCTTGTCGTTGTCGGCGAATTCAGTAGCGACGTTCGTCCACCAGGTCTTGAAGTCGGAGGTGGACTCGATGATGCTTCCATCACTGCAAGTTGTTAGCCATCATATGCCATTCATCCTCAGCAAACTGTATCTACTTACAAACGTCCGTAGTTGTGGGGGTCAAGGACAGCGTAGGCACCGCTGTTGGTGACGAATTCGACGGTCTGTGTAACCGGTTAGTGTTATAACGACAATGATATCAAGGCCATGAGCGACAACATACCGACTTCAGGTCAGAGAGGTAGGTCGAAGCGAAAGAGCCGGTCAAGCCATCGGGGGTCAAACGCTCCATGAGGAAGGGGATACGGAAGATGTTCATGCCCTTGTTTCTCAGGACCTGAATCTTGGAGGTCTCGGGCCAGGTGTAGTCGGTTCCCAGGGTACCGGGGAGGGCAGAGCCGAACTCGGCGCCGGATTCGCTAGTACCAACCCCTACATCAATTAGAATAGTGCATCGAAGTTCAAATAAACATCACATACACTTGAAGCCAGAGTCACGCTTCTTCATCTGGCGGCTAGGGAGAGCGGACACCATGGTGGCGGCAGAGGCCGCAACGATCAAGTTGCTGATTCTCATTTTGAAAAGAATGTACGTCGAACTGGTCGATCAAAAGGAATGAATGACTAAAGGTAAGAAAGAAGGAGTGAAAACACAAGATAGAAGACAAGTAATGAATGTCAAGAGCCAGTCTTGATTGTGATGTGCCAAGTAGAACGAACGAACGGTTCGGACTCCCCATACTTATAATCGATCACTCGGGCAAAAGCAACCATCCCATAATTCCCTATCATTTCTCTGGTCCCACAGCTTAATCTCAGCAAACGCCTTAGGTGCTTTCTCTGAGACAGTTACCTTGTGGCCCGCCAGGGGATCCATCCACTAGGGTGGACTCCCTGAAGTCGAGAACATCTCGCCCGACTCCTCCGAAATAAGGGCACTGGGCCGGCGCTGGGCTAGCGCCGGTCCCTGAGCGACCCTTAATATCTGGATACGCCACGGGCGGAAAACAGGAAAAAGCACGACGAAAGCAGCTTTTTAGCTGCTGGAAAAATGTGATTTTCAGGCAGTATGCTCGAGAGTCGGTAGTCACCACGGCATATCCCCGAACTCCTTTGTAGAACGCTGGGGTGGTGGTGGAGAGAGCGCGTAGACCGTTGTTACATCTCAAGGCTTAGCCACCTAATGGAAACAGCCATGCCCGCATTGTTGCGATCATATCGGAGGGGATGCAGTGGCCCCGTGTCAGTCATCCTTCATTTCTCCGGGCGAAAATTGCCTGCCTGGAAGGCGTGGGGCCATACCATGGCATCGCGCAGGAGATCTGATTAAGATGAAACGAGTTAGCAGCCTAAGCTTCCTGTTCGTTGGTGGAGTGATTCCACGGTTAATTAAATTTCTTCCGGGCCGGTGGGAGCACGGAACTGGTCAATAGGCCCGAAGACAAAGAGAACCGTTAGTCTATTAGCATTCATATCGGCTTGCAGATTGATTGATCACTTTTGTGCCCTCCTGTCCTACAGGCTGGTTTCTTCAGTGGTAATTTCTGGCCGACCCGTCTGTATCCAACGGTGAGACAAGAATTTGGGAGACCCACTCGGACCGTCGGTGGAAATCATGCCGTCCTCAGTCGAGCTATTGAACATCTCATGCTTTCTTCTAGCGAAATACCATCTGGCTGCTGTGGGGGATGCAGTCTTACAAATTGGGGGCAATAATGAGGGCATTATTGCGAGGGGAGTGAGCGGGAGAGGTCGTTCAGGATACGGTGACAGCGACTCCTGAGAAACACGTGCTGAAATTAATCCCGAGGCTGGCCAAAAAAGAAATCAATAGTACAATAACCCCCTCAAGCCATTAATATGGCCTCCTAATCTGCCAGGACTTCAGGATTCCCCGATGTTATCCACCCGGAATAACTCTAGAAGCAAACATGGCATGTCACTTTTCGGCCGGTTAAGTATTGATTGTGGCAATGGCCGGCTTCTACGGGCTTCTAGGAGGCTTACTATTAATTCACTCCATATCGCAATCGACTTTCCCGGAGCTATTGACCTTGGTTTACTATTTTAGGGCTTTTTTATATTGCGCGCCGTTATAAATATTTACATAGCCACAACCACCGAGGCCGATTGGAAGGCCGTGAGCGGAGAATTAGATTGCTATGGATACTGTTCGGAGTACCCCAGGACATGCCATCGGCGACTCATGAGATTCTGTCGGCTTCATTGCTGTGTTGGCCGACATGAAATTCGAATGATCGATCACCCTGGCCGATCGGGATCGCGTTCGCATCGTTGTCATATAGTGTGCGTTCAAAATACCGCACTCGTCCATCGTCACTTACCAGGACTACCGTTTGTTGTTGAGTGCCATACGGCCCATGCAGGAATGACAGATCCATTGCATGGTGCTCCCCGCCCGCAGCACCATTCGCATGCGTGCTATCCACACACACAGGAGATACAGTGTCTGCCGGCTTGGGGGGTTTTTCGTGAGCACCCAGGACAGGAATGAAGATGCTCTTCCGAAAATACGGAAGGTAGTCCTCCGCAGTCGCATCTTCTGAGAGCGTCGGGAGGGTATTGGTGCTCAGCATATCAAGGAATCGTGTAATAAGAGCATCTTCGTCCTCCCCAGCCTGCACGTGCGTAGCAATGGCTTCATTCATTAGTCTTTCGCCGTCAAGGATCTTAGGCCATGAGCGATCCTCGAAGACTGTATTACTGAGGCCCAACGTCTGGCCCGATTTCGTGGCGACCCATGCAATTTGGTCCATGGTGGATGAGCGATTGGAGACGATTGCCAGGGGCTCATTGATGTATCCACAGAGCAGGCTGAACCCACCGACATTCCTGGCGGTGGGACTCGCAACCATATCCTGCACATATTCCCGGGTTGACCGCTTCTCGTCAGAAGGCGCAGCAAGCCAGCTACATACAATGGCTCCCCGACTCTTCGCCCCAATGGCTTGTTCTGATGTATTTTCGCGGTAGTTGGTCAATACTGCCACTTTGCCTTCTCTGGTCACCCCCATCCATGTGCCATGTGGCTCTCGCGCTAGATCACGGCCACCTAAGATATTGGACTCTGGTGAAGGCCACCAGCCAGCGGGAGATGTCGGTCGACGTATGTATTCCTAGACGCCGTTAGTTTTGGACGGATCCGAGCATGTGGTTTGAATCATTGTCGCGTACATCCCTGTTGTTGATGATGATCAAGGGATAGGAAGGATGTGCGGTGGATAATAGCGCGATACACATTGCGACGTTTCTGGGGAACAGAAGATGCAGGTAGGAAGGGGGTACTGGTGTAGTAGGGATATTCTTGAGCTCGGCGTCAGGCAAGTGAGCTGCCGCCACCTATATGAGGGGAAGGATGGTCTCGTGCGACAGGCGAGCAAGGATCAGGCAGCGAGTATTATTGATATACAATCACAAGTTTCGGGGAGATTGTCTGATTCCAATGACAACTAGTAACAGGGTTTCTGAATTCGATGAGCAGAATTGGCTCCAAAGCGTAGGGCGAGGTTGTTCTGACGAGTCCAGAAGACAAGGCGACTGTTGGGCACTGAGGTCATCCGACAACATGACCGGCAGTTCAGCCCCACCGCCTTTGTGATGCTAGGGAGAGCCCTCCGCTCTGGCAGTGAAGGATAACATTGTACTATCATTCAATGCTAAAGTAGGCTTTTAGTAGATGGGTAAAGTGGCTAGTTCTTCATTGGGGCTTGTTGCAGTGATTTTGCTCTTCAGTTTCAAAGCACTACTACCCTCATCGTGAATATTATAACGGGACATCATCATCTCATTTGATGCATGGTAGCAGCATATATATATTAGTACTAGTATTAGTGGTACTACTCTCCATCTGAAGGAGGAGTCATATTAGTGTTGCTGATTTTGTCTTGAAAATGTCTTAATCAATCAATTCACCTTTTTAAATATAAAATGCTGGTTAGAAAATTGTACCACATTATCTTAGTACCCATTCATTCTGCTTCAAATCAGTAACTGATAATGTTGTTCATGACGTCAAGACCGCGGCATTTCCCGAAACGGCAAGGCGGGCAGGCTGCCCTTAGGATGGCACTAATCCCGAAGAAGAGAGCTCCATTGCCTGAGCCACGCGGCTGAGTTAAGGCATCCGCACCGATACTTGCCTAATGCGGTAGGTACCACTGTAGGGCTCGATGGATCATCGTGGCTTGGCCCCAGTTTCTCAAGGCAGCCACGCTCCGTCTTGGGCCTTTTCTCTCCCCGAATTTTACTTCCATTCCTTCTCTACTACCACCTTATCCTCCCTCCTGGAATCTGCAGGCCAATCCGCTAAGAATCTTCAAGCAATAGACTTTTTCTGCGGCTGGCCGCTCTCCTTTGTGTCGGTCCGTTGGTCGCGTGAAGCTTCTGCCCCGCAATCCAGCAGCAGCTCAGCTTACCGATAAATACTTTCCCCCCTCCTAGCACCCTTTTCTCCAAAGGAACCCAGTTCAGCAAACGGATCGAACTGTTAACAATCGCCCATCATGTTCGGAATCATTGCGGACCTTTTGTCGTGAGTACCACCTGCTATCTTTCGTCATCGAGTCCCGGCGATGCCGGTCGACCCCGGACACCCCGGCCTTATGAGTTGTTCCCTGCACTTTCTCATATGCTATGCGTATGCTAACAAGACCATGCATTTAGCTCAATCATCACGATCCTGCTTCCTATATTTGCTTCCTTCAAAGCCCTCCGGACTGGCGACCCTTCCCAGCTGGCACCATGGCTCATGTATTGGGTCGTTCTGTCGGCCGTGCTGATGGCGGAGTCGTGGACGATCTTCATTCTGGGATGGTACGGCCACGAGACAATATCAGGGCATGCTTAAGTCCGTCTGCTGACAGGTTGTTGCAGGTTCCCGTTCTATAGCTGGATCCGACTTTTCTTCTTCTCCTATCTTGTTCTCCCCCAAACGCAGGGAGCTCGGAGTCTATACCAGGAATATGTCGACCCCTTCCTTGAGCACCATGAGCGTGAAATCGAGGAATTCATTGGCCGCAGCCATGAGCGTGCCAAGGCTCTAGGACTTCAGTATTTCTACCAAGCCCTAGACTACGTCCGGGAAAATATTCTGGGCTTGCCGGCCCAACGTCCCGCATCTCCTCCACCCCCGACTGGCCCGGCTGCCTATGCGCAGTCGCTCTTGTCCCGGTTCAATATTCCCACTGCCGCTGGAGGCTCTGCCCCAGCCACAGGCAACGACTGGCTCTCTGCCATCGGCTCTGCGGTCGCTTCAGTTGCATCTGGCAAGAGTGCTGAAGCACGCGGGGAGGAGCTGTCTGCCAGCGGAACACTACTGCCACGGGAGGTCGCGTCCATGTCCCGTGCGGATAAGGCCAAGTATATCTCGAGCCAAAGAGACATGTTGGAAGTGCTGCGTAGCGCTCTGGCCAAGGAGGAGCGCGACCTGCACAGTGCAGGCGCAGAGGTGGATGACCTGGCGTACGGTGGTGCACCGCTGCGAAAGAACCGCAGCGAGAACTCTTTTACTCATGTGGAGCATGAGGATACTCAGGAACGCTCGTCCGATGCGCATGG